TTATTGGTATTGTACCTATGCTGGGATTGTGGGAAGCCAACCTAATGTCTCTCGGGTTGGTTGCTTTGGCTGGAAACTTTTGTACAGTGACCAAAATGCACTACTCCTTTGACCAGAATGCTAATCTCCTAGTATTTATTGGGGCAGAGTTTCAATTTTCATGCCAAAACATAGCACACACTAAGGTTGAATCTTTTGTTAAACTTCTCATCTAGACCACTAAACATGACAGCTTGGACAGAAGCCTGCAAAGAGTAATTCTTTATTTTTATTTTATTTTATTTTACTTCAAGGAACAATGCAGTCTCTGAACGAACCTTTGTCCACAATTTCCCAAGCTTTGAGAGAAAGGCGGCAGTGAAATTCCTGACTTTGATACAGCTGAGGCTAAATTCCTTTTTACATACTCTCCACAAAGCCCTCTGAATGACCTGTCCCAGCCCTGTCTAGAGTTGCATGACTAAGTCATGAAGTTAAGGGTGCCTTGCTCATCTCCATGATAGATATACAGATGTGGCCTTTTGTAAAATATATATTGCTGTAAAAAAATATCGATCTTTATGGTGGATGTGAGACTATCTGCACTTTTGGGGCTACAGAAAGGAACTCCCACTCCCACAATGCTTACACTACATTCTGATTCAGATGGGAACTGCATTTTCTAAAAAAAAATTTTTGCATTGGTCCTTTGAGGAGCATCACGGCATTGAACATTCAGAAGATGGAAAAAACACACATTTTTGCTCAGAACATGTTGCACAATATGTTTTCACTGTTTGATTTGCTTACTGATGTTGTGGATTTCATCTCACACAACTGGTAGAGAGGTGTGTGTGTGTGTGTGTGTGTGTACGGAAAAGGTGTATTTTTCTGCACTGTGTTTTGGACTTCACAGCAGGGACCATTAAGACGCTCCCTGAAGGAGTGTCTCCACCTCCATCATTCTGCCCAGACACTGAGGTCCACTTCTGAGGGTCTTCTGACAGTTCCCTCCCTGAGAGAAGTGAGATTACAGGAAACCAGGGAGAGGGCCTTCTCGGTAGTGGTGCCCACCCTGTGGAACGCCCTCCCATCAGATGACAAGGAAATAAACAACTATCTGACTTTTAGAAGCCCTGTTTAGGGAAGTTTTTAATGTCTGTCATTTTATTATTTCGTATATTTTGCTGGAAGTCACCCAGAGTGGCTGGGGAAACCCATCTGGATGGGCAGGGTATAAACAATAAAATTTGTTATTATTATTATTTACTATATTTATGTATAGCTGCTGTGCCCTTAGTAATAATGCCCTTTCTGCTTTGTCACACAGTTTCTCCTACGTATGTTCTGTTGAATCTGCAGTAAATATGAGCAGACAAATAACTGGCCCTGTGTGCATGGTGGCTGGTACAAGAGAGAACCCTGAAACTTATGCTGTTTCTTTTAAAACATTTTTTTTTAAAAGAACGTCCTTCATTTGTATCTTCTCCCCTGTCAAACAGCTACACTTACTGGCAAGATTAGGAACAGCAGCCTTTTCTTCCCGTTCACTGCCTTAAGTTGTTGCAGCAAAGGCAGCAGTGTCTTATGACAGCGTGAAGACAAGGGGTGACCTCCAGCTAAATAATACTTGGAGCAGATCTGTTGAAACCAGTGGGCTTGATTTCATTCATTTCATGTCTTTAAGACTACTTCGTTAGATGGGAAATTTCCTCTGGTCTACTAAGGCTTAGGTCATAGAATCGTAGAGTTAGAAGGGTCATTTGGTCCAAACCTTGCAATGCAATGCAATGTGGGGCTTGAACCCTTGACCCTGAAATTAAGACTGAGCTATCCTAACTAGTCTTTAAGGTGCCACAAGAATCTTTGTTGCATTCGCTACAGCAGACTAAAAAGGCTGCCCATCTGGAAATTAAGTTGTTGCAGTTCTTTGAAATGATAAATTTGTTCCTGTTCTCGTACTACTTGCTAAAAAACCATGTTAACTGGCGTTGAACCTCCCTCCCAACTCTTCTGGCACAAAGCAATATCCTATGGAAACTCTTTGCTATAGAACTTGTTTGCTGTTACCTCAGTGGCTTGAATCTGGAACCTCATCAGTGACAAAGGATCATATTGGCAATAAAGCCTAAGCTGTGTGTGAAAAGGAGAAATGTGTGTGCATGTGTGTCCATGTTAAATGACTGAGCAGACAAACACAAATTATACCCTTTTGGTGAGCCCATTGATAGAAGAATGCTATCTCTGCATAGGATCGAATTAAATCTCGAATTGGGATTGCCAGATTTTTGGGCCTGTGGGTACATTTGCAAACTGAGGAAGCTGTTCAGGGCACCATATAAACACAGATGCACACACACACTCTCCCTACTTCACTAGTAATTTGCTACAGCTCACCAGTAGCTGGTTGCCATAGAAGGCTTCTTGCAAGCCAAATATATTTTTGCAGAGAGATGGGAGGATGCCGTGGGCACCTGGGAAGAAGTCCTTCATGGCACATGTTCTGCCACATGGGCAACCCATGTCCTGCATATTTATTTTAAGCATTGATGCGTGTATGGCCAATTTTAGTTCAGCCTTTTTTGTAGTGGTTAGATAAGGTGAATGGCAAATGAAAGCTCATTTTATAATACTGTAACCTGCACATTCTTCAGCTGTGGCTGCTTCTTCAGATGGGTTCCAAGGCCCTCTCATGTCTCATGCCATAACTTGTGAACTCCCCACTCCAAATTACTAGTTTTTTAAAAATTACTAGTTTTTTTTAAAAATTACTAGTTTTTTAAAAGTTTTCAGAACCTGAGTTCTCATTCTTCTAAATCTCCCAACATCACAAGCTGGATTTTGCATTGGGCTAGGTAATAGTAACACAGCTATTTGTAGGCCTGTGCTTTTATGTATGGACGCATCCACCTTGTTCCTTATTATGTCTACACTGTCTGCATGTCTGGGAATCTCTTCGGCTTATGTTCCGTGCCTTTATGGGGAGTGCTCTGATGATTCTGAATTTGTGTATTTTGTTTTGCCTTTCTGGGGTGGAGTTTGCTGCTCCCTTTTGAACTCCTAGTGCCTATGGAATATTTTAATATTCTTATTATGGCATACATTTTAACTGAAAACCTGATTTTATAATTTTAACAGAGTTTTATTTTCGTTGTATGGAGATTCTCATACACTCCTTAGAGACAATTGTGAATTTAAGCAATATACAGGGTATGACTGTATAAATTGCAAAAAGAAAAAGAAAAGCCCAGGCTATGCATTGTTTTAACAGGCTCTAGGAAGAAAGACAATGATGAACCCTGAACCTTTCGTTCGTTTTTATTCTATGCAGATGAACCTTCCTTGTACTCTGCCTGTTTTAGTGTTACAATTTGTTGATAATAACAATAGAAATGTGCGTGTGTGTGTGTGTGTGTGTGTTTCTTCAGTTTTTTAGCCTGTGGAAATGTACTTGGTTTACTTTTTAAATAAGTTGCTGGGTACTGAAATAACGTTTCCCCTAACATTGCTTCGGTTGGCTGACTTATTCCATGTACCTGAAATTTGTTTCCCAAATTTGAGGACTTGAATCTAATTTGGTCTTGCCTGTTTCTGGTTGCTTTTTCAATGTGACAGAAAAAAACAAAACGTAGACAGCATCATTGGCAAACATTAATATTAATAGGGTTTTTAAAAATCATTTTCAGCCTTCAGAGGCTCATACTTAATTGTCCCATAATCTGGATGGAATAGGATTTGGATACAGACTTTTGCATAACAAGGGAGCCAATGGGCCACCCAGATCGATTCCTCTCTGAGACTGAATATCAGTAATAACTAGGCATTCCAGTTATAGTCTTGTTTACGTGCTGCGGGCCCAAGATAATGATTTCAGGTGTGAGTATTGCATTAGAAACCGGGTACAAATTTCTCAATTCGAGAAGATCAGCCCTTTGGAGTAGTTTGCTTGGTGTGAGTCATGCATTCCTCTTGAAGGCACCTTCCCCATTCCAACCCCCATTTCTTTCAGCATGCCAGAAACATTTAGACCTTTGACTTATAATTTTGATTTCATGGATCTGGTATGGAAGAATTCAAATTATGAAGGGGGCGGGGAGCAAATTCATGTATGCCAAGGTGTGGAGCTGTTCATTCTGCCACAGTCAACCAGCATTTTTAATAGCTGTTGGGGGGGGGGGGAACGGGACACAAAAACTTATTTGCTGTTGCTGAACAATTGGTAATTTTAAACCCTTGCTGAAAAGGCGAAGTTGACACTAGAGTTCATTGGGAAGGGGGATTGAAAACAAAACCACCTGTTTATCATAGCGCTGTTATACAAAACTATGGCTTGGAGTACTGCAGGCACAGGCAAACTCGGCCCTCCAGATGTTTTGGGACTACAACTCCCATGATCCCTAGCTAACAGGACCAGTGGTCAGGGATGATGGGAATTGTAGTCCCAAAAACATCTAGAGGGCTGAGTTTGCCTATGCCTGGAGCACTGTGTACTGTTCTGGTTGCCTTACCTCAAAAGGGATATTGTAGAGCTTGAAAAAGTTCAGAGAGCAACCGAAATGATCAAGGAGTTGGAGCAAGAATATTAGAAAAATTCAAGGAGGATAAAGTTATTAACGGCTGATAGCCCAGATGACTATGTTCTACCTCTACTGCCAGAGGGAGCATGCCTTTGAATAGCAGTTGTTGGAGCATGCAAGTAGGGAGAATGCTGTTGCACCCAGGACCTGCTTTTGTGGGTTTCCCATCGGTATCTGGCTGGCCACTGTGAAAACGGAATGCTGAGCTAGATAGGCCAATGGCTTGATCTAGCAGATCACTGCTTACGTTCTTAGGTTCAGTCAATGGCTGTGGACAGATACAGTGGTACCTCGGGTTAAGAATTTAATTTGTTCTGGAGGTCTGTTCTTAACCTGAAACTGTTCTTAACCTGAGGTACCACTTTAGCTAATGGGGCCTCCCGCTGCCGCCGTGCCGTGATTTCTGTTCTCATCCTGAAGCAAGGTTCTTAACCTGAGGTACTAATCGCTTCTCGGCCTTTTGGCTAAGATCAAGTGTAGTATCTTAATCTGAGGTACTATTTCTGGGTTAGCGGAGTCTGTAACCTGAAGCGTCTGTAACCCGAGGTACCACTGTACAGGCAATGGGTTGTGTTGTCTTGAACAAAGAGCTGCTGTGGCACATGACCTTGCCACGAGCCCCTAAGCCAAAGGTTTTCAACCTTGTTGAGTCCACGGCTCCCTTGACCGACTACATTCTTTCTGTGGCAGCCCTGTGGGTCTCAGGAGCCTAGTTATGTCACCCCTTGCCTGTGGAGCTGGCAGCCTCTCACCCTTTTCCGAACACCCTCCTTTGTGGAGCGTTCCCTCAGCCTCCTCTCCTTGGGAGTCCTCTGGGCAGCCGCTGCTGCTGCCCTGGTCTCTGAGCTGCCCTCCCCCGCCCCAAAGAGATGTGCCTCCTCACACTGCCCCATAGAGGCCTAGGACTGGTCCGTCCATTCCCAACAGCAAGGGCTGGTGGACCGACTGGCTGGGCTCCCTCGCCCACTTGTTTGCTTACTCTGAGACCACCTCAGCTCCTGGCAACCAGCTCCCACTGGCCACCCCCAGAGGCACCATTCGCCTGGGGAGCTTGTAACCAGGGCTGTTGCAACAAACAGCTGTGCAAGCCTTTGGTATGCAGAGACACGAGAGAGCTTCAGAGGAGGGAGGGAGGGAAAGAGGGACAGAGACCAGTGTTGCCTGCGGCACCCCGACCATCATTCATGGCACCCCAGGGTGCCACGGCACACTGGTTGAAAACCAGTGCCCTAAGCTAGTCTACTGCCCTCAGGTGCAGTGGAGAACGCGTTTGGTTTGTGCCTCTGTTCCCTTTATGAAAAACCGAGGACGTTACCTACCTCCTAGGATTGCTGTGAGGAGGAGTAATGAAGTAAGGACTTAGTGATCAGCTGGTGGTTGATCACAGGATTCTGTAAAGTGACACATTTGGTTTGTTTTAGTTGTTGTTGCTCTTATATGTACATCTAGCAGTTCCATGGTAGTGTTGCTTAATAAAGTTTTGAAGAAATAGACTTGCAATAGCCATGGTATCAAAATTATACAGTTTAAGAGTACATGTTCCTGGGACATATTGTACTACTTAAATTTTGTTTTACATGCAAAAGTGCTGTGCCAGGACATATAATTTCCTTTAGCAAAGGTTTCCATTAATAATTGCACTATTTAAGAACACAAGGAGACACCATGGAACCTTGTTTCTCTTTTAAAATGGGTGGATAATTTTGTTTCTCAGTGGAGGATGGGCCTATGTATTGGGAAGTCCCCTTGTTAGAAACTCTGCATCATCAAGGGTGCTCTATACTCTTACTCAATTAAGAGTCTGTATCTGGGCTGCAGAGACAAATATAGTTGCATGTATAATTAAGGGGAAATGTGTGTCAGGCTCCCAGACAGACCTTTTAAGAGACAGTAATGGAAATGCTACCTAATAAAGACCACAGCACACGGAAAACATGAATCATCAATTTATTATTGACTAGTGTAGCTGAAGAGTATGGCTGCATGGATTGGCTGGGTGCTACAAAACTCTATGGAATTAAGCCGACTTTTCAGACCACTCAGAACTGTGAGATCTTTCATTGGAGAGGGGGATTCCCTTCCCTTCCACAAAGAGAAATATGGGCTTACTCCCCCCCCCCATTGGAAATGAAACTATATAAGAGAGCGATAGTTTAAGTTGCTTCTTCTGGCATTTGCTTGGAAGATCACATGTACCTCTTCTCTGCCCAAATTAGGGTGATAATTAAATTGGGACCCAGCAGTGGCTCATAGGGCAGGGGCAGAGGCAGGGGCATCTTTTTGGTGGCAATGCCATTGCTTATTGGGAATGGAGTAGAGGAAGGTGGTGGCAAGGTTGGGAGAGCCCCATAGATTCATGCACACCACTGAGAGCTTCTCCAACATCGCTCTCTTCTTGTCCCATCATTGTTTTGATGAGTGTAGTGCCACTTCTGGGAGGATGCTACTGTTGGCTCTCTTTTCATTTCTCATGAGCCACTGCTGGGCAGGTTTCCAGATCTAGCTGCTGTGGGGCAGGCCATGAGTCTGAGACAAATCCACCCCCTAATTCTGGCTCCAGTTTTTTGGGGTCCTCTCCCTCTGGGCCCAAGCCACACAACTGCCTAGAGTGCAAGGCATGTGATGGATGCCGCACTTGTTCCCTCGCTCTTGTAGCAGACTGGTGAACATCCAGAACGTGCTTTAGAAAATAAGTGAGTCCATGAGTTACAACGAGGCAGCCATGTGGGATCAATTCTACATAAGGTCTCCGCCCAAGGCATGATGTCTCCATCAACTGGGAAAACTGGGAAAAGACAGACATAACATTTTACAAGGACAGGAAGAAACATCACAGACAGAATAATTGCCACACACAGGAAGAACATGGCTATAGTTTGAGTGCCTCACTTGCAGTTCTATAAATCATTTAATGTGTCAACACAAATGGAAGTTATTAATATTGCGGTTGTTGTATAAGGGATTATTATTTTGACCGGAATGTAATTGAAATTAATAAGATTTTGGAACGCAGAATTAAAGAAAACCATCAAGTCTAGCATATGGGGGGGGGGGCAACTAAATTATATAATTTGGCATTTGAATGATTGGTATTAGTAATTGTATTATAATTTGATATTGTTATAATGAGGCTATTATTGGATTGTAATTGAAAATTAATAAAAAGTATTGTATATAAAAAGCTACATAAGGTGACAAAGTTGTAGGTGGATGCCTTCCTAAAAACAATGTTGAAATAATTTTTCACTCATCACTATGAACAAATCACTGAACAGCATGGGTAAGGCTACTTTCAGGAAAGCTGTCACAGTTCAGAAAGTAATAAACTAATGTTGACCTTCCGCACAGCAATATTAAGGGACTTTGCTACAAAACACATACTGCATATATATAAATATGTATAAACCAGTGATGCTTTGAGTGAGAAAAATGCCAGAAACTATGCCCCAAACATGGCTTCAGAATGATGTGGCATTTAAACCATGCCACACAGCTATTTCAAGCCTATTACATATTTGTTGCCCTACTAATTTCCTATAACTTCCAAGTGTGGAATGTCCAAATTGGATAGATATTTACAAATTGAGACAATAAATAGGAGGCAGCACACACACACGATAATTGTAGGTCAGCTGCAGAGTCATGTTTTAATTGTACTGGTGTCTGCTTGTTATAAGCAGGCTTCCATGAGAGATCAATTGTATACAGGGTGACAAAAATGTGGCTGGATGCAACTGTAAAAAAAGGGGGAAACAATGAAAGGCAGGGAAACTCTTATCACAAAGCAATCCCTGCAGAAAAGCAGAGTTGAAGTCAGCACCCATCAGCTGGTGGGCAGTGAGTTCAAGCTTGCTGGATTCACTGTGTGGCAGATTTTCCAGCCAATCCCTGAAGAAAGTAGCTTTGCCAGACCCATGATGGGCACTTTTTCTAAGCAGCCAACAACCAGTTGGCTGTGATGCCCTTGGAAAATGCTGAGCAAGCAACTTTTCTTTTGTTTTCTGAGCTAGTGACTTTGACATGTTGGTTGCCTTCCTCTAGCTGACAGTCATCTGACGTCAAGTGATTGAAAGGTGGGCTGTCCCACCCACCTGTCAAAGTGGACCCACAGGGGCGGGGGCTGTTAAGGAGCTGGCTGTCTAAATCAAAGAGGTTCCCCATCTATGCTATACAGCAAAATGGAGGCAAGGAGCCATGCTACCAAATATGTCTTTGACAAGTGCTGTGGAGCCCTGAGCCAGACGGCTTCACCATTTTAAGCAATTAAAGCCACATTATAACCCCCCAAATGATTATACATTCTTTATCAATCTTCTGAGAAAAATACAAAACCTTATGCAAAGGCTAAGCAAATCAGTCTCTTAAGCTTAAGCCAAGAAATAGTATTCTCTATGAAATTGAATATCAATATACGTATCAAGGCTTTGAGATTAGACCACTGAAGAAGTCTGGAAAACTACCTTGGGAGTGTGGTACCTGCAAGCCCTAGTATGCTGGTCCCGAGGGCTAACTGTGCGGTGAGGTCCGAATCCAGTCCAAGGTCAAGGGTACGGTATGGAGGCTGTCCATCAAAGCTGAAGCGGGGCCCAAGGCAGGGAGTCGGGTGAGGTCAGGAACCCTGGCAGAAGAGCAGGACAGGATACAGGCAGGAACAGGCTACCAACAATGTTGCTCCCGCAACCTGTGACTGAGGCTGGCTGGCTTTTATCTGCCCCGAGGCATAGGGCGGCCCCGGTCCACAGGTGACTTGCCTCTCCTGGCCTGGAGGCAAGCACTCCTCCTGCGGGAACTTAGTTCCCTCCGCCTCTCTGCCCTGAGCCTCTGCAGCTCAGGAGAGGTTGGAGGGTTACTGGACCCAGAGGCAACCTCAGCTTCCCCTGATGGGGCTGAGAGTGGAGCACCGGCAGGCAATGGGTCCTCCATCACCTCAGGGGCCAGAGCAGACTCAGCTGGTGCCTGCACCTGAGGATCCAGCACAGGTGAGGACCCTTTAGGCTCAGGCCCCAGCCCCGGCTCAGCTGGTTCTGGAGGCGGGGACTCCTGTGCAGGCTAGGATTCCTCAGGTTCAGCCTCTGAGTCCGAATCCCAGGCCATCACACCTAGTAAAAGGGCCCCATCAGGGGAGAACAGTGGCCTCTCGATTACTTGGACTGCCAGGGCAAAACAGGTGCAAAACGCCGGCACCCTGCCTACAACTTCATTAACATCCATCTACAACTTCACTAGCTTCTCTCGGTATTGTGAACAACACCAAACTTACCTTTTGTTGGTATCTTCATGAACTTACCTAAAAAGATAAAGAAAACAAAAGACTGAGTTAAGCACCTGAAAGATCCATTGAAATCAGACATTATAAGTTCATCTTAGGTTGGGTAGTTTGCAAGTCTCTGTGGCTTTGGAGAAGGTTTTGTATTTTTCTCAGAAGATTGATAAAGAATGTATAATCATTTTGGTAATTATTGTCTGTATATTAGTGGCCAATGTGTTGCATGAGTCGTACTAGTTCTATAAGCAGCACAGGTTGCAGTTTTCTAACATTATAACTCCCGGCAATTGGCCAGCATCTCAGCAGATGCCCAACAGTGCTTGCCGCTGGAACAGACTGTGCA